TTAACTGTGGGGGGGTGCAGAAGCCTATCCCAGCATGCACTGTGTGAGTGGCAGGAGGCCGTCAGTCTTTTTCAGGGCTATAAATAGACAGATATTGGCACGATTTATGTTTTGAATTGGTTATTAATTCTGTTTTATTGAGATGTTCTGTGTCTTGCACTTTATTTCCTGCCTTTGTCTGCCCTTCCCCTAATTGAAACCTGCTGTGTCTAATCACCGGCACCTTCCCTGTGTATTTAAACCCTGTGTGTCCCTTGGCTCAGTGTTCGTTCGTCTTTCGGCTGCCTGCCATTTCCTCCCGGTACGATTAGTGTCTGCTCCCCTTTGCCGTGTTCGCTGTTTCTTTGGATATTTTATTTTTCATGGACTTGTGATTCACACGTTTTTGTGTTGAATGCTTTTTTGTTACAATTAAACCCACAATTATCCAACCCTCCGTTTCCCGAGTCTCCCTGTATTTAGGTCCAGCCCTTTCTTTTCTGAAACCTTACAGATATAGTAAGTTTCCAATTCCCCGAAACTGCAGCCAGTCAATAAATGACATAAATTAAATCCTGCCTGTGGAAATGAAACGTATGCCTTGCATATCCGAAGATATTGTATAAAAAATAAAGAGTCGCACTCATAGTAACGTTCCGAGAGGGAACGCTGTCCCTGGTTTTCCGCTGGTCCGCTACTTTGGTCCAAAGTAAAATATCTCAACAAATATTGGATGGACTGCCAGACAGACATTGAAATATTGTCACAAACGCCTCAGCTGTAATTTGTGTTCAGTGCTAATTAGCAAATGCTAAGACTTTAAATTAACATTGTCATTGTTGTCATTTATCCCAAAGCACTGCTGAGCCTCTCATCTCCTGTGTGGTAGACGGTCCCGAATGCTTTCCATTGAAAAGCTCAGCGAAGCCAGTTGGTTGTCTGCGCATTACAAAGCTGCACACAAAGATGAAATGCTACCTGAGGTGTTTCAAAACCATGTTTTTCACTTTTAGAACGGAGAAGGCTTTGAGGATGAGCACCGACTGCTTCTGGTTTACTACCTGGAACGCTCTCCCGTGCAGTAGATAAGAGGGACTAGTGTGGCTGTATCATTTCTCACAAACATTATATAAATGTCTGAAACTGCAAGACACCTTTCCCTTGTAAAGTGTATAACTATAAATAACTTAACCATTTAGGGTTAGTATTTTGGCTTTAATCTGCACTTTTGCAATAATGCTAGTGTCTTGCTGTCACGTATTCTGAAGTTCTAGCATGAGCTACAGATCCACACATGGTGTCTTCTTGTAAAGCACATGAGACAAGGCAGCACCAACTGTTGGTATTAGAGCCCTTTTCAACCTGTATTTTACTGGTTTCAAGTTATTTAAATATTTATGACAGCACACATGTCATGCAGCTTTTTATTTTGCTAAAAGCGAAACCTAGACTTTTGTTTATTGTCCATACAATCATAAATCTGCCATCTCTTCTCGTGGATTATGGAAATAGCACTTGGGATTCACACACAATCCCGTTATCTGAAATAAGATGCCTTCTTTTTGAAGAAGCTTATTAAGATGGCTTCTGGAAGAGAGCGGGAAGCGTTGAAACTCGATCTGACCGGCAGAGAGCAAACACACAAGACACACAGTGGAGCCCAGTGAGGTGAATAAATAAATCCATTAAAAGCATGGGCGTGCCGAGGACAGAACCAGCCCGGCACTTGAAGTCCCCCTGTTTGTGAATCACACCCACTCCAACATATCTGCGGGGAATCGGAGGTGGGCCGTCGTCGCCTCCCTCATTGTTTGGTTTGCATGCTTGTCTTCAGCTGTGACAGGGTCAGAGTACCCTGATCGCTGAGACGGATAATTGTGTGCTTTTAATTTTGATCCTCCGCGCTTCTGCCTACATCAGAGGCTTCTCGGTCTGGAGAACAGGCAGGCGGGAGGGAGTGGAAAATGCACTCAGCCAGAAAAGCCTCCGACAGAGAACAATACAAATATGCTGGTCAAACACAAGGAAAGGGACAGTATCATTTAAAAAAATACAGACGGACTCCCTTGTGGACGCAGAAGAGCAGAAAGACAGAGGAGGTGTGAAACATACCGAGTACCATGTGAAAAACGAATGAGCTCCTTAAGGATTTGGACAGGAGCACATTTATTTGTCTTGGCTTCAGACTGGTATTATTTTGGATGTGGAATGACAGCATGTGGTTAGAGGGTGGATTTCAGCTCAAATTTGAATTTCTCTGCTGTGCCTCCAGAGCTTCAACATTGCCATGTGCTGCAGAGCTTTAATGTCCCCGCAGATACAAAGAACTGGTGTTTAGGAAAACACTTTGCATGAGGACTCAGAGGTGGATTGATGACCCAGCCATAAAGTGGATAATGAGTTCGAGAGAGAAACATAAAATATGTTACTGACGATATGAAACTTAATGGAGAGGCTCTTTTTACTGAATATAGTAATATTCAGCAAAGTACTGTTTCCTCTATAATCTATCCAAATGGTTTTGGCATTCTGAAATGGGAGAATATAACATTTTCTTTTACGTTTCTGGTCCAATTCGGCTTCAAATCCCCTCAAAGAGAAGCTGACAATCTGTGCTCTTAACCTCAGTTATTTTATCATTTCACATTTCAAAATAACAATATATCGGCTTGTTAGCAGCTGGCCAGGGAACTACGGAGCTGTGCCGAGGAAGACAACCAACTCCCTATTGTTCATTTTAATGTTGGCTGTGGACGGCAGCCAACAGAGACTTTGTGAGGTGACTCTGACTAACAGAAAATTTAAATTCTCTCATCCTCTGCTTTTACTCCTCAGTAAGCCGGCTGTGTAACTAAACTAAAATGTCCATACTGTAGCTACACTTAATCTGAGCTCATCGACGGATGTAAACAAGCCTCCATCACTACTGTGGTAACACACGCAGTAACATTGTGATGTAAATTATTGTGATTTTTTTTTAACCTCTTTTGCAGGAGATCACGTAGAATCTCCTATGTCATCAGTGAAATGCAGTTTAATTAAAGAGAGCTCTGTGCGGCTGTGCTTGAGCTAAATGCACATCAGCATGCTAATACGTTTCCAATTGTGGTTCTGGTGTGTTAATGTTCAGCTTTAGCATCCACGCATTTGCTAATTAGCACTGAACACAAAGTGCAGCTGGGGCTGAAGGGACGGTCATGAGTTATGCTGGTGTTTGGTCGTAAACCAAAGTACAAAATGAAGTTTTGAGCAGACTCTGTATGAAAAACTCAGGGGATCAAGATCATCAGGATGTACTACATTTCATCCTCTGGGGACCATGCATGTTTGTACAACATTTCATGGTGATGCATCACATTACTGTTGCGATATTTTAGTCTGGACCAAGTGGTGGACCAACAGACAGCTAGAGGTATTAACAGTAAACTTCACAGCTAAAGACGAGGGCTGACGGTTAGACGTGGAGATACAGTCATACTGTGATGGCTGCCTGCTGTGTGCCTGCAGATTTCTTGCTAGCTGCGTACTCGATGGAATGTTTTCTCGGTCAAAACTGCAATTTTGTGTTTCTTCTTAGATTTTGTGTTTTATCTGATTTACAATTCAGGAAATCATGGATCGCAAAGTTATCATAAACTAGTAAGTAATGCCGACTGGCATTTAATTGCACTTTCACATCCACACTGTGGAGGTTTGACAGAACCTGTTGTACTGCTGTGATCAGCCAACTGTCAGTGGAAAGGCGTTCAGTTTTTACTCTGCCACCGCAGCACTGAAGAACATAACACATAAATCCATCCCACTGTTGATCACGATGACTACTTCTCCAGATCCATACAGCAGTTAATTGCTGCTGCTGCTGCTGTGTGAAAAACTGCAACTCCAGCTGTGCCGATCCGTCATATACGTGGTCCTTAATGGGTTTAGCAAGTTTTAGAAAAAACATGCTATATGCAAAACTAAGACGATACTGAAAAATGCATGAGGCTCAATCGGTGAGGACTTCCTTTCTTTGAGGCAGGTCAGTTGGAATGACGCCTCCATGGCAGCAGAGCTCTTGACTGAGCAGAAACGAAGGGAAATGTTCTGCTTGTACATTCACGCTTGCGCACATTCTCACCTGTAGAAAATCTCCACAACCACAGTGTGTGTTGTTGTATCACTGTTGGCTCGCTAATGTCATCATGTGTTTCTGCACAACATCAAAGTCATGAATATCTGAGCCACGAAACACAACAGGGAACTGAGTCTGAGAGGATTCAAGATTCTTTAGAGATATCTATTTCTCAGTATTACACGACATTTCAAAGAGGAAAGATTTAAAAAATATATATTCTGTATGTCTTCAAACATTCTCATATTCTAATTAACCCACACATAATTAACTGATGCTAGTAAAGCAAAGTATATTGTTTGTAATTAATAACACTTAATTAAATGCTGAAAAAAATGAAAAGCACACTTTTTTTTTCCAGTGTCCTCCAGGGGTGACTTTGACTTAATAACCAAGTAATCTCTTATAATTATATTTTAAAATATGTATGAACCCTATTTCAGCAGCAGAATAAAATAGATTATCATTAAAAGAGAGAATAATTCAGCTGTGGCAGCTTTCAGAAGGCACGATGACTGAGACAGTTAATTACGTATGTCTGCACGTCGACAGCGTTCACCTCTTGATCGCTCAGGTTTGACGTGTGAGTCAGCGAGGGTTCACTAAATGAGATAATCAAAGCCTTTTGTTTTACACTTCATGAATCTTTCAGCACCTTCTCTTTTGTGTTTTGTTCAGCGTCACCTTTTTGTTGTGAGATCAAACGCATCAGCCTCCTCTGTCAATGACAACCCCGCCAACCAAATAGCAGGCTTTGAAATAGAGTCTTAATCGCCGACACTGCACCTTATCTGAAGCACTATTTATCTCACACACCGAGGGGGTGTTGTTGCTGTTTTGTAATGTAACTCAACTCTTAATTAATGTCTGTCTTTATGTGCTTTTTATTTTCTTCTTCTCTCCGTAGGGTGAGTGCTCCCAGAGGTGCTATAACATCTTTGTGCTGGAGACGGTGTGCGTTGCCTGGTTCTCCCTGGAGTTCACGCTGCGCTTCATTCAGACGCAGAGCAAGTGCATGTTTTTGCGAACGCCTCTAAACGTCATCGACGTGGTGGCCATCCTTCCCTACTACATCACCCTCATTGTGGACTCTCTGTCGGTGGGAGAGAAGCCTGCGGGCTCGGGGAACAACTACCTGGAGAAGGTGGGGTTAGTTCTCCGCGTCCTGCGAGCTCTACGGATCTTCTACGTGATGAGGTTGGCTCGCCATTCCTTAGGCTTGCAGACGCTCGGGCTGACGGTGAGGAGGTGTACGCGTGAGTTCGGCCTGTTGCTGCTTTTCCTGTGCGTTGCCATGGCTCTTTTCTCCCCACTGGTGTTCCTTGCTGAGAGCGAGCTGGGCGCCAAGCAGGAGTTCACAAGCATCCCTGGCAGCTACTGGTGGGCCGTCATCTCCATGACCACGGTCGGCTACGGCGACATGGTGCCCAGAAGCATCCCCGGCCAGGTGGTGGCGCTCAGCAGCATCCTGAGCGGCATCCTCCTCATGGCTTTCCCCGTCACGTCCATCTTTCACACCTTCTCCCGCTCCTACTTGGAGCTGAAGGAGGAGCAGATCCGCGCGCTGAGGCAGAAGCCCGACTCGCAGGACAGCACCAAGTCCCAGAACAGCGAAGACTCTCAGGAGACGGACAGCTACCACGGCATCACGGGGGCCGCGGCCTCATCCATGCATCGGAGGAAGTCCATGGCTGCTCGCAGGGCTGCTGAGATTAAAGCGGCCATGACAACTTAGAGCTGCTCTGTCTGTCTGTGTTCAAGTGGCAGTCTGGGAGGCCGTGGCAGCCAGCGCGGGGACTTCCAAGTTGACAAGCTGCAGGACTGTGAGCAGGGAGGAGATTTTCTTCTCTGGAGATTGAGGTCTCTGCTTTGATCGTGGGAAGCCGCTTGTGCACCAGAGTGTATCTGAGTTTCTAAAGTTTTACGGAGGAGCTGCAGAGGTCTTTTTTTCCCTCCACAAATTTGACTTAGAACTTAGATAGTTCAACTACATCATTAAAGAACCAGTCGAATGAGAAAAAAGTGACAGGATTCTCTCTGACTGCGACTTAGACTTGAGACGAGTCTGAGAAAAACAGACACGAAAACAAGTTGTTTTTCAGACCTCAGACTTATAAATAATGTTCCTCATGTAGCTGCATTTGAGAGGATTGTCTGAAATAAAGGTATTTGCTGAGTTGTGAGACATGTAGTTTATTATTGATGTGCAACACCATCTCCATATTGCATTTTGCCAAACCAAATAACTTTGTTATATATAAGGTACACACATGCACATGATGATGTCAGCACATTTATTTGCAATGAAGCAGAGCTTATTAATCTACGACATAACACAAAACTAATTTATTTGTCAAAGGGCTATGCACGCACTGGTGTAAAAAGTATCTGGTTCCCATGCTGGAGCTTTAAAAGAATAGGAAGCCGTTTCAGGAAATAGGCTTGTTCGCTTTTATCAAGGTTTCAGCAAAGTTTTAGTTGTTGCCTTGTTAAAAATGATATATACGTATATCTGTTTGTCCAACTCTTTGGTCAGGAGCAACTGCCATGCCGTGCAAATTGCCGTGAAATCTGGTATGGCCACTCATATTTCCATAGAGGTATCTCCTATTGATTGTAGTGACCTCCTGAACTTTTGTGTTGCGTCATCATCAGGTCAAATTTATACTTTGTACTGTGGCAAACTACGTCTTTTTGTTGAATATGTTGGTCTTTTTTGCCCAAACCTCTACACAAATCTGGAAGGTTTGTATATGTTTCATTACAGTTAAAACCACCCAAAATTCAAATTACTACTCATTTTATGAGTGATTACTTAGTATCCTAGATACTAACAGCACTAGTTGGAGCTACTGTATCCTTTCGAGAGACAGATGTTAGTGCCAGACGTCTTACCACATTTTGAGCTAAAGTGACCAGTGGACACAATATTAAAATAAATATCTTGAATTAGAATGAAACCGGCTAGAGAAGCACACTTACAAATGTGTGTAATCATGTGTGATTCTCTTCAAAGGGGCCGACTGACTGACATCCACCGACAGTGAAAACAACGGACCCCAAATGCTTATGTCTAAATTATATTTCAGATTATTGATAATTCTGATAATAATTGAGGACTTTTTTCCAACATACTTGTTCTGGAAGTGTTTTCTCTACATACAGTATTGTAGATAAGACGTTCTTATTGTGTTTGGTCCATTTCATTATCTCATGATTTTGTTTCGCAAATAAATAGTCAAACATCTTGCATCAACAACAATGTAAAACCTATGCACATGTTATGTAAGCCACATCTACAGTATAAGAGACGGTCGTGGTTAATGGCACAGTAAAAGATTTAAAAAGCAAACATAAGTCTTTCTCGGCTGGCACATCTATTATCTGTGTACCGTCTCATCTATGTACCAGTGGAGAGCTTGATGTGAGAGCCCCACGCATTACAATTTATGTGCTTACTATTTAGATGGCCTATATGCCCAAAGACGGACCTCGACTGCTTGGCTTACGTATTCTTCCTTTGACACTTGATGTCTGCCAGAGCTGCATCGCTGATGGGGGCAACGATCGATGTCTGCAGGCCCGACACAAACAAAACATGACTCGCGAATCTCTCCATGTCCTCTTTATTGTGTGTCAATGCCACATTGGATTCTCAACTTGGTGTTTAAACAAGTGTTGATGGATGTTACTAGTTATTGACATGGACAACTGGCACTTCAAAAGACAAATCAAACACAAACCAATGATGTAACGTAGTAAAAATGGCATAAAAACTGAACATACAGGTACTTATATTTTTGGTACAGTAACAAAACTAGGTGTTGGTTTCACAGATACGACGATGCATAAGATGGCAGTGTATATGAGCAAATACCTCTTATGTGAATGTGAATGGATCAAACGGTACAAAACACAATGTAATAAAAAAAGAAAGTAAAATCAGACACAAGGAATGAAAGCGTAAATAAAGTGAAACTCTTTTTGATCACGTTGACCCCACCACTGCCTGAATAAACAGCAAGCGTACATTATCTTACACTGGCATTTAAAGATTTATAAAAAATAAGAGTAACAAAATACACAGGTTGACTAAACTGGTGTCAAACACAAAAAAAGTGCACACCCTCAACTAAGAAACCAAGGTGCAACCATATGTTCTTTTGTATATTTAAGAGCGGGGAAAGAATCATTCACAGGCATCTCCTGCCGTGTCCCTCCGGAACAAAAAGGGGAAGTTTCCATATTTTTAGGACAGAATGAGGTCTGCTCTGGTACACAGTTCACTGAAGGGCTGACAGTCCTGACACCTCCTGGTTTGGCATTTCACCCGTCCCCAGAGAAAGATTACAAAACAACAACAACACATTCACCGTGTTATGCGGCAGCCTTTCCTTCTGAACAGGAAATTAATTTCTTGAGACAAAATGGTGATGAGTACAACCTGCCCAAAGCAGCAGCAGCACACAGCACTGTGGAGTCATGAGGAGGGACATCGGGGGATGTTATTGGATTTGCAATATAAATAATAAACTTGAGACAATGATGGGAAGTGAAGATACAATTTTGCAGAACATATTCAGAAGTATCAATCTATAAAAAAAGTGAACTAAAAGGATAATTTGGCTGTAACTTATATTGGCAATAATAACCACTGTATCCAACAGAGTTATTTCGGAGCTCAAATTAACACATTTTCAACTGAGGGTAACTCGTCCTCGCTTCACTGTGCTCCGTCTTAAATTCTCTTTGTGTTTAGTCTAAAAGCACATCAACTACTTTGGCGTTTGTGGAGTGAAAACGATCAAAATATAAGATATACAAATGTCATTAGCAGCTTCAGTATAAAAATCTTGGCGTTGACCTTTTAACAACCTACTGTACACAGCCTGAACACTGGTCGCGATGCTTCAAAACACTGAACACCGTTGTCCTTCCGGCAACACTGGCTTCATACAGAAGACTTCTACAAAGCTCGATTATCTCATCGCTCCGTTACCATCAAGGCCGCTAATGTGTATGATCATCTGTTTGTGTTTAAAAAGCCAATACAATGCATCTTCAAACCCTTTGGGATTTGTCTTGGGACTGCCTCTAGTTTCTTACAATTTGATTCCTCTGTTAACACAGAAGAATGAGCCTGTGCATCACAGCACACGGCAAAGAAAATGTGTCCAACAAGTGGTAGACTGACCAGCATTTCTCCACTGTGTTAGAAAAATAACAACAAAATAACAAATACCATTTTGTACATTCAGTAACTTTGTGTATTAAGATCAATTTGATTGATTCAAACATGTATATTGCTGGTAATGCAGCGAGCCATGTTTGAATGTGTGCGATTTAAGGCAGAGGGTCCATGCATCAATCATCAGCTGATGTGGATGACGACAAAAGCTGGTCCACGTTCCCTTGAGCACAGATTTCAGCGCATACATCTGCACTTTATATATTCATTTATGTGCATAACATTCTCCACATGCACAGGTCGACTCAAGGATATATTCTTTCAGAAGTCTGCCTTCCACGACACTAGCATAGTGTCGCATTGCGAAGAAGTCGGTGGGATACATAAAAGGAAAAAAGGTTGAGTTTGTTTGGGACAAGTGTCTTTCGGGTATCGCTGCAGACACCAACACCGCTCAAGTGTGTATGTTCATGCCTTATTTATGGGTGTGTATGTGTCTTGATGTATCCTAGAGGGTGAGGGTGTGTAGCCTGTGTTATCTCAAGGCGCTTTGGTACTCCTGTATGTTTATACACGTCCACAGCTCCTCTAAAAATGCTTCCTTACTGGTGTTTTTGGGTGTTGGCGTCCTCGGAGAGCTTGCAGCGGCTATCAGAGGGCTTTGGCACTGGTGGTGTGGGAGACAGTGTGGGACACTGGCTTCTGTGGGTAGCGGCTGTAGTAGTAAACCTGGAACAGGATGGTGAAGTCCACTAAGACCTGCAGCAGGCCACACGTCCAGAACTGCACAGGAGCCTGGGTGAGCAGGAAGTAGCCGGTTTTAAAGGTGTCGCCGCTGGTCCACATCAGCACCATCTTGATACTGAAAGGAAAGAGTAAGAAAAGGGATGATGAATGTTTTAGTACAGTTTCATTAAAAATGAATAGCACTCACAGTCCATCACGTCCTCAATAACAGTCAATCATGTTTCTAATTATTTTTATTATATTATGGCATTGTTGTGACACTTTAAATTCATGTCAGATTTTATTCCAGATTGTCGTTTTTTCTCGACAGTGGTGTTCTCAAAAGTCACAGTTCAGCCAATCACTGAAGCCTCTCTTCAGCTAGCAAGCTCAACAATTGCTACCACATTTATCCACCCAACTCCTGTTAGCTAGAGCTACAAAAATGTCAAAAGTGTGAAGATACGCTGTTGGCTAGCGCGACTACAGAGAGACTTTCGGCTCTACGCAGAGCTGTGTACCTTTCTCTGACTAGCATTTATAGAATCAAAGCTCTGAACTATCCAGCTAACGCTAGCTGCTGCCGCTAACACCGAGACTTCTCGAGCTAACAAATTAGCCTCGCTAGTTAGCTGGCTAGGTAGATAGCATGCAGAGTCTTGTTAAGCTAAATAAAACAATTGGTTAGTTACTGTGTGTACTGTGTTTTATAAGCCTCTAGTTTGTTGATTCAGACATCTTCTCTTTAATGCATCTTAAATAGACATAAAACACATATTTATGCTGTCTAAATTCAATTTGGTTACCAACAGCACATGTTAATGAGAACAGGAAACGAGGACAGCACTAACAGTTCAGCCAAGACGAGAAAAGCTAAATTTGCCACAATAACAACCATGGGAAATTGAAAATGAATCTTCTCAGGGCACAAATTTTCTCATCAACTCGACATCCTGTGGCACGTTTCTCAATAAAACTCATAAGAGCGTTTCCGGTACACAGCTGATGGTTCATAGTGTCCTCATGAGACAATCCATGGAATGAGTTAAATGAGAAAAATGCCCGTGTGGTTTGAGACAGCAGAGAGTTCCTTTAAGCGTAAAGCTTTGTCCTCTTGCTGGCACTGAGAAACAATGTGAACTCAACTAATGAGGTTGAAAGGGAAGTTTAACAAGGGTACAATAAACCCCCCCCCCCCCCCCCCCCCGGGGGTCCAAACACAAAACTTTCTATACATGTCAGACTCTCCAAAAATAGACACAATACACAGCTGCACTGGGGGAATGAAGGTACATCGGCCCTAAAAGTCCTTAAATGGTTAAGGGTGTTTTCCACACCAGTTTATAACAACATCAACACACATCTCCACTTCTGCAGAGCTCTGTACTTTTTTCATAAACGTTGCCTGAGGCAGGGATATGTGTAGGCAATGCTGGCAAAGGAAAAGGACTGAGCCAGCACTGTGTCTACAATGTGCCCCTGCGCACACATACAGGAGTCTTCAGATGTGCTTCCTAAAGCAACCTGCCTACAACAATACCGACACAGGCTGAGACATCTGAAATCTGTTCACTCAAGCGTGTCAGCACTATTTGGTCAGCACTATTTGGTCAGCACTATTTGAAAAAGCTTTGTGGGAGGTTTTTTTCTTGCTACTTAAATGTATAGAGTGTGTTTTATCCCCGGTTTTATTAGCCATGCAAGATAATACAATGCATGATGGTTAGCAGAGGTTGTAAATATTCAGCGACATCTCTTTGGGTTCACTTTACTCTGGGAAAACTCATTGATCTGGAACTACCTTCTATCGAATATCACCTGTGATAACTGTGCTGGGATGACATGTTGTTGAGATGTTTTTAATGTCATCTTTAAAAGCTGTTTGCTCCTAAAATCTCTATCTCTCACAATCTCAGTCTCTATTGTACAGGGGTGTAGGTAGAAATCCTAGAATAACTATACGGGCAAAAGTATGCAGACAGCCCTGTCCTTCTTTTGGTCTGGGGAAACCATAACGCTGCAACACACAAATATATTTATTTTGTGGCGCTGTGTTTAACAAAGATGTAACAAAGACAACCATAAATCTATGAAGGGGTCTAGTATCTGGGGTCTAGTAGCTGCAGGTCTGCTGAGACCCTCAGCTCCTTTAAATCAAGATTGAAGACTTTTCTGTTTGCTGCTGCCTTTAATTGAACCAGATTCAATTAATATATTAATCAATTACCTGCATTTCACTACTGTATTTTATTTCTTACACTGTTTTTTAATGTTTTAATGACTGTTTTTATTGTTTCAATTAATGTTCTTAATTGTTTTTAAATCTCCTTTTCTTTTGCCTTGTGTTTTGATGCTTTTAACGGTTTTATGTGAAGCACTTTGAATTACCTTGTTGTTGAAATGTGCTATACAAATAAACTTGCCTTGCCTAGTATCGTCCGTAAATTCATAACTGAATTTCTGAAAAAACAGGAGGAGTCTCTGCGTTTGCAGATTCCCTGCCTTTCTGTAAGCCTCTTAACAGATGTAACAAGACGGACGAGAGGTAATCTAGTGTCTCTCTCTTCCCCCCCCTGCAGAGCTGAGTGTAACCCCAACTCTCTGTCTGTCTTTCAGCCAGTGTTGAGGCAAAGCTTTGCAAAAAGCCCTTGTACAGTATTATTCATGCATCCAGCTTCACCTTAGCCCTTTTCATTTATAAGGCCAATTTGTGCAAACCTTGCTGTTTTCCTCATACTCCTTTCTTACCGCCTCTTTCCCTGCAGCATCTCTGAATGTCCCCTCTAGCTTCCATTTTTTCATTATTTTTTTTCATAAGCCCACTCTCAACAGCACTTCTCTCTTTCTCCTTGTCCATTCATCTTCCCACCAGCTCCTTCGCCTCTCTATACCTGTTTGCCTCCCCCCCTGCGTACCGTCCTCGCACTCTTCTTTCTGAGTAAGGATCTTGTTAGCTCTGTGGAAAGAGATCCTCCGTCCCCACTCTTTTCTCCCTCTCCTCCTCACCCCCCTCTCCCTGCTGTCTGAGTTGCGACGATGTATATCTGCAGGTAATGATGAAAGAGGCTGGTATTCGTGTTTGATCAATGCCTCTGCTCATTCCCTAACAAGAGGTAAAGCGGGGAGGGCCGGTAGAATAGGGAGCGGACATGTCTGGCGACTTATTAATCGCCTTCTCCGAGACAAATACAAAAGGGAGGAGGAGAGAAAGCCCGCTGAGCTCTGGACTGATATGACGGCGGTGGAGAAGTAGAGCTGCACACCGGGCCAGACAATTGCTACGGGGGATGAAAATATGCACTGAATAGCAATGCTGGCTTTGTTGGTGTTGCTTTGAATATGGAGACACATCGAAGGTTAAAGCACACGCCATGTTTATGTTTAGGCTATTTGAAGACACGATGAATGCGTTGGCAAAGAACTACCGGTATTTTGGAACTGTTTCATGGTTTAAAAAAAGGAAGACTGTAATATTGACAAGATGTAGAGCTGTAGTGGTCCTCTACAGTAGAAGTGCTGCACAGGTTGGCTTAAGTTCTTAGTAACTACTGCTAGTTGCTCTGTAGCAAACCAAACATTACAGGTTTCTATGAAATCATTTTTTGGACATTTCATTTTCTTCTATTTTTACATCACCTACTATAAAATTGTAAGTTACCTTAAATACACCATAAGTTAAATTTTTGTATTTCATGTCAACATCTTGTCGTTTGTTGCTTTTTATTGAAAGAAAACTACTTTAGGGAACAACGATATTAAAGTTAATTCTTTGTTTCCAAGTGTAAACAGGAGATATTTGTATTTTTTGGGGGGGATTTAGTATCAAATACATTTCAGAAAGAGTGGGAAATAGTCAATTATGCTGACCTAGCTGACATTATTGGCTTAATATTTTATAAACTTTATGTATCTTTTGTGAAATGTAATTTCAATTCCTCCCAGTCATTTAGAAACAGCATATTATCATGTGTGAACTCACTCTAAATAGGCAACAGCTACACCTGGGAGCTGCTGGGTGTAAACATGTAATAATAACTAATTAGTAACTAATAAGTTGAACATATTTACATAATTGTTTCATACCGTAAACCTCTTTTTTATAGCTATAACTGTTTGTAAGCTGGACAAAAAAATATATCATTTAATAAAGAGTTATTTTTTCTTACTGCGGTCTGTGCTTCAACATTTCTTATCGTCTCTCTGCAGCTTTAATGCGTTTCAGTCCATCTCTTAGGATTCAGCTGTTATTCTGCTGGACAGCAGAGAGCACGGAGAGGTAGAGGAGAGGCCAGCGCTGAATCATAATGCATTAACTAAAATACTTACCGGGAGAATTACTATGGAGTTCAGAGGGAAATTATTTGGGAGTAATAAAATTAAGTAATAAGAACAACAAAGCTGCATATCCCAAAATGAAAGTCTTCACTGTTTTAATACAGAATGTGCTCTCTGTAATTCAACAGAAGGAGCTTGTTTGCTGAGGCGGTGCAATAGTTACACCAAAAAGGAATTCTGTTCTAAAAAAAAAAAGACAGAAATGCTGGAAGATTACTTCTACATTTATCTAACTCAGAATTCTGACACCGATTGACTTCACCTGAACGTTAGAGAGCAGACTTTGGATTTCGTCCCCCATTTCTCAGTGATGTTTTTGTAAACGACGATCTCTCTATAGACACAGTTTCATCCAAATGTAGCGCACGTTTTAAATCCATTTCCACCAAATTGGGAAAAGAAAACGCCAGTCCACTACTGTTATGGGAAAACTAGGAGTTGGTTCATCAAGATAAACAGTTTATGGCACCACGTCTCCAGTCAGGTGGTATTATAACATCGCAGAGGAGGAGGGGCTTACAAGATGTAGTTAAAAGATGTGGAAATATGGCATTTCTGTTTGTTTCATGCATTCATTTGAGGAAAGTTACAGCCGCCTCATCGCTCCTCAAACACGTTTCCATCTGCTGCTATTTTCTCTCTTGAGTGAGGCCGAAGGTTCAGCGGACGTCATATGCTTCATGTATGTTATGATTTATTGTGCGTCATTTAGTGTGATTCTATTGCACTTAATCACATTTTGCTTTTATCGATAAAACATTCCCACCTCAGCCAAGTGTAAATATTGTAATATTTGGATTG